GTGGGCAAGTGGGCAAGTGGTGAGTCAAGTGGTGGACTAACTGCATTGCAATTGCAGTACGACCTCGGTAGGTTAGCAGTGAGTCCCCACTCAGTCAACGGTAAGGTCCAGTCAGTCCCAGTCCGGTCCAACAAGTACCACAAGGGACTGTGAGCACCATAGGCCGATGGAAAAGGGCAGACCAACGAGTTTCAGAAGTATAAATCAAAAGGCAACGCCCAACCATTCATTCATTCCTACGTGAGCCATGCGGAAGCGCTGCCATAGCGACTTGTGCAAGGAGGTCTGCAATGCGTCCGAAGCTGAAGTGGGCGAGAGAGAAGGAGCATAGCATAGCGATAGGGTAGAGGCGGACACAACCGCCATAGCTGCAGTTAGTGTGTAGCGAGTGTGTGTGTGTGTGTGTGAGTTCAGAGAGTCACGTGTGGGATATCCAGGGTAATCCGGTGTATGTGAACAGTGAGTTGTTTGTGCGCTGAGTCGCCATAGCCAGTTGAAAGTGAACTCTTATCTGGATGCCATATCTCTAAGTTTTGAGTGGGCGCATGTCGTCAGTTTGTTGCGGTACTGTTTACATGCATGAAAAGTGTGAATGAAAGCGTGTCTGATTGCATTGGTATCGGAGCTGGTACCCGCTATTCCACGCGTCGAGTTGTGTGTCGCAGGTCAGTCGCCGACCCGAATTTTGACGGATTGGGCCTTGGATTAAGTGCCTAAAGAGGGATTGACCGGGACTTTCATCGGAGCCATCGGGAAAAATTAGGGGTCACAAAGAGACCCCTAAAATTCCCCGCATCGACTGTTGAACCTGACCCTTGAGATCAACAAGAGGAGCGGTCGCGCCTGCCGTGCCTAGCACCTGTCATTTTCGTCCGTTCTGAGGCTGTTCCGGAAGCGGCCGGCCGGGGCACGGAGGAATGGTAGGAGGCCTTGGCGCGACTCTTTTACGTCGTACAGTTCGTGGGGAGATGGGAGCCTCAAATTTAATTAATTCTAATAACAAAATTAAAATTAAGAAAAATAATGAAAAATAATAAAAAGGGTGAGAATAACTGAATATTTGCGATTTAATTAAATCTTATTTGAATTCATTCATAATGAAACTGCTCCTCATTTTCATTATATCCGATAGCAGAATTAAAAGTGAGGAAAAAAATTAAAAATAATAAAAGGGAGGAAAATAACAGAATATTTGTTATTTAATTAAGTTTCATCGGAATTCATCCTTGATAAAATTGCTCTCTGTTTTCAGTAATTCCAATAGCAGAATTAATAATGCGCGAAAGAAATGAAAATAATAAAAGAAGAGAAAACAAATGATTAATTGTTATTTGAGATATTTACATCAGAATTTATTTTTGAGGAAATTTTGCCCAAAATTATTTATTTACCCCGAGACCATTGATCTACGCGAGTTTCCGATAATTATGAACCCATGTGTGATTTTGCCTGATTGATCTGGTTACTTCCCTTGCATTAGTTCGAGTGTTGTTGAGTGGGCGGGACCGATTTCGAGGCACGGCGACACAACTGATTTGGCGCTGCTACTGACGCTACTAAGAGACTGGCCACGCGACCCTATTACGGTGGTGCGGACGCTGGTTCCGACTAAGCACGACACACTCATCCGTTTGGTATCGGGATGGTTCATCTGCGACATGGTACTATATTCTGTATTGGTCAGATATGGTTACTTGTTCGGGACAGGTGCGTTGCAATCATTTATTCAGTACTGTGTGGTACGTTTGCCGCACGGTACGGTATTCTGCATTGGTCTAGTATGGCTGTTGGATCAGAACAGGCAGGTACACTGGTTCGGGACAGGTATGCGACAGGCACGGTATTTGCTGCATCATACGGTATTCGGCATCGGGCTGGAACAGGCTGCTGCTGTTGGGAAGTATCATTTCAGGTTCGTCACTGGTCCGACACTGGTAAAACTCGCGACAGTTCGGTACTATTCTTTTTTGGGTACAATCTCTGGTCCGACATTGCTAAAACTCGCGGCAGATCGGGCTGTTATTTTTGGTGCAGTTGCTGCTTCGAAACTGGTGGTGTGGCACTTGGTGCAGTGGACCCGGACAATCGATCCAGGACTACCGGGCCAAGACCCTTGGTACCAGCGATAGGGGATACCTGGGTTTGTGGGCCTGAGACAGCTGGTACCAATAATGCCAACACTCCGTTTGAGGCTGGGTGCTAGTGAAGTCAGCGGAAGAGAGGCCACCCGGGTCGGATATAGGCCAGGCCAGCCAAAGGAGAAGGGGTCATTCGGGGGGGGTTCGACAGCGGGGCGACCGGGGAGAACGGGGCGCACTAGAGCGGGCGACCAGCGTGACCAGGAGGGACTGAAGCAAGGGGGCTACTGTTGCATACTGTAACGTGCAGACCAGAAGAAGAACCGACCTTTCAATACAAAGTATTAGATAGCACAACGGAAGACTTAGATACCAGTGATCCGAACAATCAATGTTGCAATGCAGCCCTGAACACACATCATCATCATCGTTACATGGTGTGAAATGGGCCTGGCGCTTCACACAGGAAGACTGCGCCAGCCCATACCATACACAGACGAAGAGGAAGGGGATAGACGAAGAGGAGGGGGAAGATGGGAATGTCGTCAACACCAAGTCTTCGGCACAAGCCCAAGTAGGTCCCTCGTCGAAATGTCTGAATCCCAAATGTCAAGTCTGGATCCAATGTCGTCAAGTCTCAAGTCACAACTTTGTCTCTCTCTGTCGTAGTCTGAGAAGTCAGATGGCGAGAGGGTGAGAAGAGATGGTGGACTTAGAAGAGGAAGAAGAAGAACTTTCTCTCTCTCTGTGTCCAATACTAACTTGTGAAGTTGGCGCCTTGATGCAGGTACCACGAAGATGGAGCTGGAGCGATGGCGCCACAGGTAAGTCCCACTGGCCTCCGCCAGTATCTCTCCCACTCTACGATCTACCACCTACCATAGCGCCCAGCGCTGAAGACTAGCACTAAGGCTATGGGCGCCCAGCGCCGAAGACTACAGCTACAGCTATGGCGCCCAGCGCCGAAGACTACAGCTAGCGCTAATACTACCTAGCGCTGAAGACTACTGCAGCGCTCCTCCTGAGTGCTACGGCCGAAATCCTGAAGACTACCTCGTGCCTACTGAACTACCTGTCCGTGAAGTGCATGGGAACTTCCTATGTACTACCGGGTGTGCCTCCTAAGCCTGGCGAAGGGAGGCAGGGGCTGCAGCTGCAGCTCCTGCTCAAACTCGTGAGGAACAGGCTATTTCTGGCCTGTTCCGCATCCCTGTTTCCGTGCGTGAGTCTTAGGGGCAGGTCAAAACAATGAGGGCCTGAAAATGGCCCTCCGTTTCAGGCTGAAAACTCTGGGTCTGAAAAGACCCAGAAATAGGCTGAAACGGGGTAGGGCCTGCAGGCCCTCGTTTTTCAGCTTTCTGGCTGAAATGACCGGGGCCTGTAAGCCCTAAGTTTTAGGCTTTTAGGCTGAATGTCCGGGACGGGCCCTGCAGGGCCCGTGTGGCTACGCAGTATGCCACACCCCCCCCTCCTTGAAGAACCAAGCTTACCTGCGAGGGCGAAGCTGTCTGTCTGAGGGAGGGACCACAGTCCGGTTGGGAGGGGCTGGTCGTGAAGCTTCCTGAGCTAACCTYCGCTTTTCATAATGCGCGTAGATCAGCGGTGCGGATGCTTTCAAATCTGCGCCTGAAATCCACCGAGTGTCGTCGCGATCGCATGCTTTGAATGTGACTTTGTACTGCCGCGGCTTGCTGTTGTACTTGCGATCGGAGATGACGCGATCAACTTCCTGATGACCATCCATAGGAGGGTCCTGCGATCATCGGCCCGGAAAGTCGTCGCTTTTGGCTGGCGTGTATGTTGCCAGCTTCGAGGCGTGGAAGACCGGATCGACCGTCAGATGCTCTGGAATGTTGATCACAAATGAAGGGCCATCGGGCTCATCGCYCGCGGCTGCTGTCACAGACCAAGGTCCAAACCACTTGGGAAGCAGTTTGCGTGAAACATCYTGTTCCAGTGCAAACTCTTCCGCGGAGACCCAAACCAGATCACTGGCGCGGATGGGACAGGGTACGCGACGCCTGTTGGTTTGCTGCTCCATGCGGACTTTAGCCTTTTGCATATATGCGTGGGCTTCAGTAAGCAATTCCCTGTACTTCCGGACGGAAGTGGGAGAGCAGGCAGCGTCAATGTCGGCTGGTCGAGGGAGGAGAAGGTCGGCGAAGATCCGACCTTTCCGTCCACCGTGGTGCAACTCGAATGGAGTCGCGCCGATCGTCGGATGCACCGAAGTGTTGTAGGCGAACTCGATGTCGGGGAGGCGGTCAACCCAATCTTTCTGGTCCGGACGGATGAGTGTACGAAGCATCATTTGAGCGGTTTGATGTGCCTGCTCCGTCTGACCGTCTATCTGAGGATGCCGAGCCGAACTTGGTTTCATTGTTGTGCCGGACTCCTGCATGAGAGCAGTCCAAAACGCCGACATGAAACGAGTGTCGCGGTCGCTGACAATGTCTTCTGGTACACCGTGGCCACARATCCAACCAGTGTGCWGGAGGCGTGCCAGCTCGGGAGCCGTGGAGTAGTACTTGCAAGGGAGAAAACGCGCGTASTTACTCAATCGGTCCACAACCGTGAGGATGCCGTCGTGCCTGAGCCGGTCGTGAGGAAATGGACCGGTGACGTCCATGGCAATGGAGAGACCGGGTTCCCGTGGGATAGGCATCGGGTGTAACTCGCCATAGGGATTGAGGTTGCGGGGCTTGCTGCGTCGGCAAACTTCGCAAGGGTCGCAATACCGAGTGACATCGGTAATGAGGTCAGACCATCAGAATCGCTGTCGAAGCCGTGCAATAGTGCGGTTGACTCCGAAATGGCCAGCGAGTCGTGAATCATGATACTCATCGAGGAGGTGAGTCAGAAGACGACGGTCGCGTGGGACACATAGTAAGTCCTTGCCTCTCGAGTGGAGGAGCAAGTACTCGTTGGCAATGCGGTAATGGCTGGCCGGCGGGTGATCCGAAGATAGCTGTGCATAGAGCGTGCCGAAGTCCGGATCAGACTGATATGCCCGGATGAAGTGTCGCTGAAGCTCCTCGTCGAATGCGAAGGCATGATGTGTCATAGCGCAAAGATCAGGTCTTCGCGAGAGTGCATCTGCTGCGCGATTGGAGAGGTCGGGGACATGCTTCGGTGTGAAGTCAAATTGGTCGATGAAGTACATCCATCGTCCGATCGTGCTGCTCACCGTGTCCTGCGTCGTGTAGTAGGTCAATGGATTGTTGTCTGTGACCCATGTGAACCTACGACGCCCAAGGAGGAAGTGCCGCCAGCGCTTGAGAGCCATCACAAATGCGAGCAGCTCCTTTTTCCTTGTATCATCAAGCGAGTTGATGGGAGGCACTTTGTGGCTGAAATACTCCACAGGGTGCCAGTCGTCGCCGTCGTGCTGTTCCAAGACTG